CTTAAACTTCATCTCGTGTCTGAGGCCCTGGTGCCGCGGCCCAGTGGCATCGCACAGTTTCGCTTTGCCTGGGAGTTGGGCGGCTGGGCTTGGGGCCCCGGGGCCGAGACAAAGTTCGGCCAAAACTCGACTCCAAAAGCACAAACCTTTTGCCAAGTCTCTGCAAGCTCCTTTGCACAATTTGCACTCCAAGACAAGAGGGTGCGGACGATCTGGGCTTTGGCATTACGCTGCAAAGGCTCCAGTGGAGCCGAAATAAAAGGACCGCCGACATTTTCTCGCATTCGCGCGCGCCTGCTCCCGAGGCCTCCTCCCTGACGCCCGAGCAGTTTGAGGAGGCGAGCATGTCCGGCAGCTCCTCCTTCAAGGCTCTGGGGCTTTGGGCCTTGTGACCAATTTTGCGCCTTCCTTTGGTCTCAGAGTCCGTTGCACACTCACCTCGGGCACTTACATGAAGCCCCGGCAGCACGACGATGTGCCAGGCTGACGGCAACATCAACGTCGCAATCATAGCCATGCGGGGCATCAGCAACGGTGTCCAGCCCAGAGTTTCGATTTTGCGATGCCACGCACAACAGTGACAGTCGCGGTCCTCAACGTTGGCTTTCAGTGAAACTTGTCATCCCCTGAGCTTGCCCAGGTCAATTCTTCGTGGTTGTCGCTTCCGCACTTTGGCCGCAAAGCCACCCTTAGCCCAAAACCCTGAGGGATAAAATCTCCTTATCCCGTTTTTTTTCAGCTGCTCACAGTGTCACAGTCTTCACGTCGCTCAAAGTGGTGTGCAAGCATGCCAGGCTCGCTGTACCTGGCTTAGTGTTGGAAGTGGCGACATGCTCGTTGCTGCTAGGTTTGCCATGGCCTTCAGCTTCGTCAGGAATGATGCCTAGAGACTTGTAAAGCACGCCAACATCTTGTGCAGAAAGCGCCGCGTGAGGGGGCGGCATATCGATCCTGCACTCCCAAGCCCTGTGCCAGAAGCCACTGCAGGTACTACCCCGCCCCGCCCCGGCAGAATGCAGAGCATGAGTGCTATGTCTGCTATGTCCTGTTGAACCCAAGGAGCGGAATGCTTACGCGGAGGCCTCTATGGAGCTGATTTGCTCCTCGGCCCCTACTCACTCACCACTCACCTTACAGCTACACTCAGAGACTTCGCCTGTAGGGATTCCGACCACCACATTCCCAAGCATGACTGCAGGTAGTCGTAATTAGGTACTTCTTTGGACGCCTTTCCGGGTCAGTTGGCTTTGATGCTGAAATCTAACACTGATCTCGGTTCAGCTTCTGTTGAGAAGAGCAACATGTGCAAAGGTTCCGCACACCACACTGCATTGACTCGAGCAGAGCCGGGAGAACAGCTAGGTTTCTTGGCAGGTTCCTGTGCGGGCAGCCCGTAAAGCAGCCAAGGTAATGTAGCCCAGGGCATCGTCGTCTCGCCGCAACTTGGCACTGATGGACGCAAGTGAGAAATGAAATGCTTCCAGGTCCAGAGTATGATGCTTCAGCGTGTTGTTGTTGACATACCGTCAGAGTAAATTGTGTATGTCAACCTAGGTATCCGGCAGCTTCGCTCATTCTGTTGCTGTGCTTCGCGCTCCACCAAATCAATCAGAGGCTCAACAAGCAGGGTCGGGGCTGAGCGTAGCAAGCCGAGACAGTGATTCGGAGTTTGCCTGTGGTTGGACCGCAGCCAGCTCAGATGCGACAAGCCGCCCTCGCAATCCTGCAGCTGCGCAAGTTTGTGGACCGCTGTTTTCACCGCTTGAAAGGCGCAAGAAACGGCGAGTACAACCGGAAGAGAGGCTGCATCAGTTGCGTTGGTTCGTTGCCATCATGTCCTTTTCCAGTTACTGCTGTAGTTTGCAGCTTTGCGGATTAGACAACTGTGTGGTTGTAATATGTCCCGACTCTTGGATTTGTCAGAGACAACGCTCGTATCGGGAAGGGGTGTAACTTGACTTGATAAAGCCTCGGTGCTTGGCTCGCAGGCAAGGAGCTCTAGAGGGCTCCCAGATTGCCCGCGTCTGTAAAGCAGCCTCTTGCTGCTTTCTAGATTCTGGGATAAGAAAAGGCTATCACTGTTGTTTGCTCGGACACTACAACACTGCACTACCACTATGCCGTACAATGAGCTAGCAAAACCTGTCAGCCTGGCTTTGTGTAGGTTGCCGGACACTATTGACGTTTGCGGACACAATATATTCAGCCAGCCAGTTGAGGTTCGGGTAGACCTTAGTTGGATACTGGTAAACGTGAGCAAAGAGACCTTGCTTTGAATATTTCTCTCCATCCCCCGTGCCAACAGAGCTTATTCAAGATTTATGGGTTCCGATGTGTTGTTCCTTTTCACTGTCGAGCAACAGGAACGACAGGTGCAGCAGATAGGATGAATGGGATGCATATGATCCCGTGTCACTGCTGGTTTCAGATGAAACCAGATTCCTGAGACTATGATTCAAGCGACAGCCAGGCTGGCACACGCCGAGAAGACCTTGGCGCGTTTGCCTCAGTAGCTTCATGACAGTTCCGGGGGCAGAAACAAAGACATGCAATGAAGGTTGCGAACAGACGGTGGGAACTCAGGGATAACGAGAGAGATTATCACGCTTTTTGGACTGTGAGATACTGTGATGCTGTAACGGTATGGTGATGCGACGCCCGTGGTAAATTGTGATGAGGCCTTGGTGTACGTGTTCCGGGTGAGCGCGGGCAGTTGTTGCTCTTTCGAGCGCCCGCAGGGTGACCTCATGCACACCAGCTGCCGTGGTCGAAGGTTTGGGTCCGGGGCATTCCTGAACGACGAGCCGTTGTTTCAACCAGACACACATTGCCCGTATGCATAAACTCGACAAATCCCAGACCTCCAAGTGCTTGTCGCAGCATGAGCGTAGTAATCATGTATGGATGCCTCACATATTGCAGCAGTGACAGGGATGGGGAGCTTGGAACCGGAAGAGCGGCCTTGCAAGAATCTAAGGCCATCCGAATCCTCGTGACGGCTGATGTTTTTGGAACTAAGATGTCCCCAACACACCTAACAGGGCTGCAATCTGCGAGACACTTTGGCACTTCTGTTTGGACCTGCGTGGTAAAGCAAGAGATCGATGATGATGAAGATGAAGATGATGAGGATGTCCGGAACTTGCCGACAGTCGCAGGGATGGGTCACAAACAACGGGAATTGATGCTGCAACCACGCTCGCTCACAGGAGGAGAGGGATTCCCCAAGCCCAAACCAACACCCACCCATCCTAGAGGAGGAGCAGTCCAGCAGAGGGAGCCCAGGATGGTACGACTTGAAACAAGTCAGCTACTGCGTTCGGTTTGTCCCTGCGTCCAACGCACCCCCGTTACATCGAAGCCTAGACTTCCGAAGAAGAGGACCGGACCCGAAGCCGAGGATGCTCCGTTCTCGTACGGGGTCTCGAGGGCCGGCCCCTCAGAGCTTTCGAGGCAGACGGAATCCCCCCTTTCTGCTGCCTGGGCTGCCTGGGCCGAGGCTCAGCCGCTAAGGGATCAGGGCCAGGGCGGCCAGGGCATCAGCACCGCCAGACCCGCGACGTGGTCGCAGCTGCCCAGAACACAACAGGCGCAGAAAACTTAGCAAGGCGCACAGTGCAAGCACTAGGATTGGTTCAGGATACATCGGAGGCCCCTGCCAAGTCTGCACTGTGACTTCCTAGTTAACATGCTGACAATCGCTTTGGCCGGCGATGGTGACGGCTATGTCCATGGCTATACTGTGCTCATAGACTTATTGCTTCCACAAGTGGACGAGAGGTAGGCTGAAGTAGGTCGCGGAATTCTCCCGCTTCGGGGGCCTCGGAGGCACCTTCCGGGCCCGAATCGCAAAGCGATGGGGCGGGATCTGCACGTTCCGGTGGCGCCCAAGGCTCCACCGTCGATGGGGGAAGAGAAGGTGCCGGGTCACGTAGGCCCAGCATAGCCTAGCAGCTAGCAGAGGGTTGTCATCGAAAGCACCACAGACGAAAAAAGGGCATGCCGCTGCCAGAGGTTACAAAGCTGCGAAGAGAGCCTGGAATTGCTGCGCTGCACTGGCAGCTGTTGTGATGACACACCACGACGAGCAATCACATCATAAACATGTGACAGTCCGAGCAGTCTGTATGCTGCCTGAACCTGTGCGGCTTGCTGCAAAGACACGAAGCTAAAGCAGGATCATGCGCAGTCACTGATTTTTCATATTTTTGTGGTGTGGACACAGAGGGCTTGTTGAGAATACAACAGGGAGCTTCTCAGAGCCTTCAGTGCCCAGCAGAAGACGACATCATCATGGAGTGTTTCGCAGGCTCACGGCTCAGCTTACGGAGTACGCAAGGGACGCGTGGACATTCGCTGTATCATGCGCCCACGTACCTCTTTTCGACAGGTTGGCTTGAATCCCGTCTAGCGCATCAGGCGTGCACCCACTGATTCATTCACTCCCTCCTTCACTCCCTCACTCATCCACTCACAAACTTTCCGCGCCATGCCCTGTCCCAAGGGTCGGGTTCCCAGGGACGGTTTGCTTTGCAGTCTTACTACGTGCGATGCTGCTCCCAGGAGTGCAGATCTATGACTGGAGTCCGCTTTGTTCCCTTCAACACCGCTCAGCCGAGGATTTTCGCACCATAGCATTGCAAGTCTTTGCTACAGGGCCATGTTTGCCTAGTTTGGGGCATGTTGCCATATTTAGATTCAAAGCTGAGGCGTTGCAGGCTGGATGCAAAAGATTCAAAGCTGTCAGCCGTCACGAAGTTTCAGTTCCTTTTGTTTCGGGATGAGCGGCTTGGGCAATGCCCAAGCGTCCGGCCCCATCCAATTGGCCATACATCACCGGTGGAGAAAATCACCCGCAATGCACACTGAACTGCGCAGACATGAGCAAGCTTGCAGCAGTGATCTCCGGCAAATCTGCATCGCGGAGGCATTTCTGCAACCAAGGTGCGATTTTCCATCGGGCTTTCTGTTGAAAGGCCCTGATCTCGCACTTGCCCGCCATGGCCATGGTGAGAGCAGTGGCGGCGCTGGCCTTGTGCATCGTTTACTTCGGCCCCGCGTGGTTCTCTTTGATGCGGCCTAGAGTCTTTCTGGAGAAGTGCACAGCCTCAGAGAGTCGATTTCATGTTGTCATCCAGGCACCGGTTGTTTAGACTGCAGAGACTTCCACCACTTGAGGAGTCGAATCCGTGGCCCTGTGACACCGCAAGTGGACGTCGGCGAGGCCTGAGCTGTGCCCTGCGATATGAAGCCGCTTTGAGAATCTCCACTCGTGCAGTGCGCAGTGCAGTGCCTCAGGTCGAAGCCAACAAGATTCAGAGTCCTGTGACGCGAGTTGTGTTCATAAAGCTGCACTCCGTTGGCTCCGGCACGTTGGCAAGGATCCTCTTCCACTATGCAGACAATCACAATCTGACGTCTGCAGCCCCAGGCAAGTACTATCCATCTCACCGGCTGTTCCATTCTACAGTTGGCCCAGAGGTCCTCAGAAGGATGGCGACTGAGCACCCTGGCTCGATTAACATCTGGCCGATGCATGTCATCTTGGACGATGCGTTGGATCTCATTGTGCCTGGGAACGTGAAGATTGCCTTTTTCCGCAAGCCCTTTGACCGCGTGATGTCCAGCATGAAGCACTTCCTGAGCTTCCCCGACCAGGTAAGCATTGACAACACTTCTGCAGGGTACCAACAGCTGCTGAGCAACCAAGCACCCACGGCATGGTGTGGAAAAGCCAATGCAGAAGCACTGGACAAGTGCTGTGGGCCAATGGCCGGGCAACCGATGACGGAGCAGTTACCTCTGGATGAATTGCACAAGCTGGACTATGTCATGATTCAAGAACATTATGACTGGTCGCTCTTGATGTTGCGTCGGCGCTTGGGTTGGGGCCTTGCCGATGTCCTCTACCTGAGCACTCACGTCAACAAGCTGCAGAATCGACGCCCGGAGGAGCAGCAGCTGCTTGACGACATTGCTGCGTACTTGAAAGCGGACGGCCGCACGCCGTGGGGAGACCGGTTCGTGAACAACTGCGTCAAGGGGCAGGAGGAGGAGACCTACGCCGCAGCCACGAAAAGATTCGAAGATCAGTGGAAGGCCTTCTCCCTTGCAGAGCAGCAGGAGATGCGTGAAGAGCTCGTTTGTTTTCAAAGCGCCCTGAGCACCCTCTCCAGCTGCTGCGCGCGACATGCGCAGGATGCTTTCTGTGAGATGATGAAGGACTGCATCGCGCTGCCCGGGGCAAGGGATAGCCGCCTTCCATTACTTAGTCTTACTTCGCCTGGGATCTTCAACCACAGCCCCGTATTTTCTACACGCTTTTGACCATATTTTGAGCTATATAGCGAATGCACATTCATTGTTGTAGCATTGTGGCGGCGTGCGAGCTTTGATCACAGACTACTTCGAGCCTCACATTTTTTCACATAGCAAATCACAAGACCAGCTGAAGTATTTTGCCACTGAAACCCGCACTGGTTGCCCGACCAGACACCCTGAGCATCAGTTCGCTTATGGACCTCAAACAACACTTCTTTAAGATCACCTCATCTTGCAGGAGACATCTGAGGATTGGTTCATGCGGCATGGTGACATCTTCGTCCAGCAGCCCATGCCCTACCCCGGTCTGCAAGGGGGCAGTGGGTGTAGAGATGAGGCCATGTCCGCGTTGAGCTGCAAGTCAGTAAAGCCGGGGCCTTTGCAGTCAACTTCAGTCGCTTCAAGGTTTGTGGGTCGCGACCAGGAGCATCCTGTGACGCGAGTTGTGTTCATGAAGCTGCACTCCGTTGGCTCCGGCACGTTGGCAAGGATCCTCTTCCACTATGCAGACAATCACAATCTGACGTCTGCAGCCCCAGGCGAGTACTTCCCAAAGCCTTTCCATTCTACAGTTGGCCCAGAGGTCCTCAGAAGGATGGCGATTGAGCACCCTGGCTCGATTAACATCTGGCCGATACATGCAGTCATGGACGAGGCGTTGGATCTCATTGTGCCTGGGAACGTGAAGATTGCCTTTTTCCGCAAGCCCTTCGACCGCGTGATGTCCAGCATGAAGCACTTCCTGACATTCCCGGACCAGGTAAGCATTGACAACACATCTGCAGGGTACCAACAGCTGCTGAGCAACCAAGCACCCACGGCATGGTGTGGAAAAGCCAATGCAGAAGCACTGGACAAGTGCTGTGGGCCAATGGCCGGGCAACCGATGACGGAGCAGTTACCTCTGGATGAATTTCACAAGCTGGACTATGTCATGATTCAAGAACATTATGACTGGTCGCTCTTGATGTTGCGTCGGCGCTTGGGTTGGGGCCTTGCCGATGTTCTCTACCTGAGCACTCACGTCAACAAACTGCAGAATCGACGCCCGGAGGAGCAGCAGCTGCTTGACGACATTGCTGCGTACTTGAAAGCGGACGGCCGCACGCCGTGGGGAGACCGGTTCGTGAACAACTGCGTCAAGGGGCAGGAGGAGGAGATCTACGCCGCAGCCACGAAAAGATTCGAAGATCAGTGGAAGGCCTTCTCCCTTGCAGAGCAGCAGGAGATGCGTGAAGAGCTCGTTTGTTTTCAAAGCGCCCTGAGCACACTCTCCAGCTGCTGCGCGCGACATGCGCAGGATGCTTTCTGTGAGATGATGGACGAGACGTCGGTTCAGTGGTTTGAACGACATGGGGATGTGTTCGTCCAGCAGCCCATGCCCTACCCCGGCCTGCAAGGGGGCAGTGGGTGTAGAGATGAGGCCATGTCCGCGTTGAGCTGCAAGTCAGTAAAGCCGAGGCCTTTGCAGTCAACTGCAGTCGCTTCAAGGTTTGTGGGTCGCGACCAGGAGCATCCTGTGACGCGAGTTGTGTTCATGAAGCTGCACTCCGTTGGCTCCGGCACGTTGGCAAGGATCCTCTTCCACTATGCAGACAATCACAATCTGACGTCTGCAGCCCCAGGCGAGTACTTCCCAAAGCCTTTCCATTCTACAGTTGGCCCAGAGGTCCTCAGAAGGATGGCGATTGAGCACCCTGGCTCGATTAACATCTGGCCGATACATGCAGTCATGGACGAGGCGTTGGATCTCATTGTGCAGGGGAACGTGAAGATTGCCTTTTTCCGCAAGCCCTTCGACCGCGTGATGTCCAGCATGAAGCACTTCCTGACATTCCCGGACCAGGTAAGCATTGACAACACATCTGCAGGGTACCAACAGCTGCTGAGCAACCAAGCACCCACGGCATGGTGTGGAAAAGCCAATGCAGAAGCACTGGACAAGTGCTGTGGGCCAATGGCCGGGCAACCGATGACGGAGCAGTTACCTCTGGATGAATTTCACAAGCTGGACTATGTCATGATTCAAGAACATTATGACTGGTCGCTCTTGATGTTGCGTCGGCGCTTGGGTTGGGGCCTTGCCGATGTCCTCTACCTGAGCACTCACGTCAACAAACTGCAGAATCGACGCCCGGAGGAGCAGCAGCTGCTTGACGACATTGCTGCGTACTTGAAAGCGGACGGCCGCACGCCGTGGGGAGACCGGTTCGTGAACAACTGCGTCAAGGGGCAGGAGGAGGAGATCTACGCCGCAGCCACGAAAAGATTCGAAGATCAGTGGAAGGCCTTCTCCCTTGCAGAGCAGCAGGAGATGCGTGAAGAGCTCGTTTGTTTTCAAAGCGCCCTGAGCACCCTCTCCAGCTGCTGCGCGCGACATGCGCAGGATGCTTTCTGTGAGATGATGGACGAGACGTCGGTTCAGTGGTTTGAACGACATGGGGATGTGTTCGTCCAGCAGCCCATGCCCTACCCCGGCCTGCAAGGGAGCAGCATGTGCCGTGAGAAGAGTATCTCTCGGCTTGCACTGTGCAGTCTTGAATTGCTTAGTGGGAAATAGCGTCCCTCAGTTTTGGCTGAGAATCTGCCCATTTGGCCAATTTGGCAGACAGAGGTAGGGGTAGTTTCCGGTACCGGCTTCCGTGTTCAAGACTTGCATGGAGTGCAGTCGTGTTTGCGAGGACTTGGACTGGCCGCGACAAGGCTTGCTTGAGTTTCCGATTCTATTGTCATGCTTTCTCCACTGTTGTGTATGGCGTGTTGACCGGCACCGCCTTCCTCACCTTTGTTCCGTGATGTTCAATGGGTAAAATCTCCCATACATCCGACAAGGCTTTTCCTGCGCGCTAAAGCTGAGGGAAAGCAGTAGCTTCTATCTACGCGTCTACACTTGTCCCAAGGACTTGTTTTTTGCGACAGTCTTTCGGCATTAGATCCAGCTGGCTACATTGCTTGCAGGCTTGAAGCCCAAGGCCCAAGGCCCCCCACCTGGCTTTCCGTCGCCATCGTAGCCCTGGTATGCCCTAGTTGGACCGATTCGCATGGTGTCAAAGAGCCAAGAGGAAGTGCAGATGCGTCATGTTTGTGTGGATAAGACGCGGGCTGTCCGCCCTCGAAGCTCGCATTATGTTGTGACGCTCGCCTCATTGTAGTGTATGACATGTTGTCAGCTGCTTCCTTGGACGATCCTGCCGCCAAGCATTGAGAATATTGAGGTGAGTTGGAGTATTGTGTCCAGTGGCATTTGGACTAATTACGGTCGGCTGTTAGCCGGGCCATAGGAAGTTTCAAGCCAGAATGAAGTGGATGCTTGGATGTTGAAGATTTGAGCAGCAACACAAGCCGACTTCTGAAACACGGCTGCTGTTGGAAATCAGCCATATCGAGCCAGCATGCAGCCGATGAGTGAGGACGTGCACGGCTTCGTGGTTTGTAGTTGAGACGAGAACTGTGCAGCTTGAGCCGACAGAGTGGCCCGTTGTTACTGGGGGAAGGCGGCCCCCGAAACAAGCACCCACAAGACTCCAACCCCCCCGCCCCCCCGCTCAGAGTGATTGTGCTGCCAAAAAGAAGCCACGGGGTTTGTCTCCTTTGTCAGGAGACGGATCTCGGCGCGGCCATGCGCAGCTTGGCTTCAAGTCCGACTCTATAAAGTTTAGCGCCGTTTAGCGCTCTAGGACCACGCGTCCCCCTGGTCTTCCAGGCCAGACGACCTAGATCAAGTCTGCTCGTGATGACCTTGCGCTGAAAGTGGGTAGGCTCGACTTCGATGAACCTGCCCGTATTTGCCGCAGCACCCTCAGGCTGCGTCGTCTTTGCCGGGGGCATTATCATTTCTCTGGGTGCCTACGGCGTGCTGCAGGTCCGTAAGATAAGATCCCCGAATGACATGGTGCATAGTGCCATCCAATCTGGGTATTTCTGGATCACAAAGGTTTATGACACTGTCAGAACACTGCCTGTTAAAGCCGTGCCCCTAGAACCAAACGAAAGGAGCGCATCATGTCGGAGCCTTACGGAGATGAGCCACAGCCGCAAGGATTTCTCTCCGGGTGCCGGGGTAGTGCCACTGTACCAGAAATACCCTCTTGGATTTTGACTGAGGAGTATTTCAAAGTCTCCGTCTTCCTGGTGCTTTGCAACCGACTGGCGGCTATACTGCACACCTCCCAGCTTCCGTTCCAGTGCGCACTCTGCGAGAGCAGGACGTGGAGCTGTGGCCCTTTGTCGTGCAAGTATTGACGAGAGGTGCTCTGCTGCTCAAGATGCTTTGGTGAATCGATGAAAGTGAACACAAGCGAGGGCAAAATGACCGGGATCCAAGTCCAAGAAGATATGGGCCTTCCAGAGCCGGTTGTCCGTTGGTCTTCGCACCTGAACCTGGCCTCTGTACAGAAGACGTGGCACCACAATCTTCGTACAATCTTCGCCGAAGGCCCCTTCATTCAAAATGGTCATGTGGTCTCAAACAGATTCAAGCAACATGAACCTGACCGTCATTGCTCTGATTCTTGTCCTCATGTTTGCATCACGACGATTGGTTTAGTTCCAACCTGGCTGTGCTAGCGGCTATGATTACATAAGTTCTGTCTGCCTTTCACTGCACGGATGCGAATTCGAAAACCATGCCTGTGCTTTGTGACTCTTCAATTCACATTTCCATTTTCCATTTGGGTCTTCGCTTGCTTGTCTCCAGCCTGCTTGTTCCACGACCCCGATGCATCCTGGCGCCTGACAAGCTTGCTATGCTGAAAGCAAAGCATGGTCTGTTTCTGCTGCGAAGTCCTGGATCACCGTGCAACATCTCTTACACGTCGGAGGTCGATTGCTGCAAGGTGAGGCATTGAGGCATGCATGCTGCGTGTGCGACGTTGCCACGCAGCAGCCTGAAGCTTCAACTCGCAGCCCGCCTGGTCATTCAAATTCAGGTTCGCCGCCGTCATGGTGGCGGTAAAGCAGGAAAGCTACCTCGCCACAGTACGAGGCTCAGAGCCTGCTGAGCTCGTCTGTGCTCGTTGATCCTCTCGTATTTCGGCTGGTTTCCCCACGAGGTGCCACTCTGGAAGTACCTGGCCGTGTCCTTGTCCAACGTGTCCGCGACCTGGTGCCAGTACGAGGCACTCGCTGCTGAGCGCTGAGCTCTTCGGCTTCGGAGCGCGTCCTGTGTCAGCTGTCATGTATCGATGTCCGTCAAGCCTGGAATGTCTGGGGCTGTGCTTCAGGTTTTCGGGTTGCGAGGAAAGGGCCTAGCCGCGGTCTGATCGCATCGGACTATGTCGAGTTCCCGTGCCCTGGAGGCTCTGAAGTACGTCTCCTTTCCAGTGCAGATGCCATGGGCTTTGCTTTCGCCTTCCTGGTACTGCAACTGCAGACAAGCTGTGGTGTTGTCGGACAAGACTTGAGCTTCCCGCTTTCTTGTGATGGGTCGCTCTGCGCCTCTCTCCCACATGACACGGCATTGAGTCGATCGGCCGCACACAGAGCAGCACCGGACTTTGCAAACACAGCGCCGGCGCCAACTTGGACTTGGACCCCCCAGCCCGGCCCAACCGCCCAGTCCCCCCAGTGTGTGCAGCTCCAAGGCTGGGCAAAAGCTTCAAGATGATGCCCGTTATGCTTGGGACTTGGGCCCTGGACAGTGCCGCCGTGCACTGGCTGTGCAACTCTTAGTGGTTTTGCATGCGTTTAGTGCAGTGACGGCCCGTTTTTTGTCACAGCGTGTCCTCGAGAAGCACACCGGCTCGTCTTCACCTGGAGACTGAGGCTCTGGGGTATCGCCATTTCCGGACAGAAGTACAAGCTTGCTGATTGGCTGATCGCTGCAGGCAGGCTGTAAGAGAGCGAGCGAGAGCCCGTAACGCCGTATCTACGTTGCCCCGAGTCCCGGAGCACACTCCCAGCGCCACGAAAGCAGCTGGCGACAGGTGTGACCGGCGGAGTGACCGCCTTCCTGCTCACAGGCAGGGTAGTCTTAGCCATGCGGCTGCCAAGGCCTTTGCAACACCACTCTGACCAGGCGATATCAAGTCTAAGCATGCGAACCAGGGCAGTCACCAGCTTAAACGCCATCGTGATACGTGCTGGAAGGCGTGCTTAGCGGGCGTTACATTGCACGCTGTCGAGTTTCCAAGTCGAGAACATCAGCTACCCTGGCGTTCTTAAGGCAGTGTCTATGGTTTGCTTCTCCTGATGGGCTTCTTGGCCTGTGTTTCTTTGCTGCAGTCGTGCCAGGCACTCTTGCGATTGCAAGACTCGAAGCTGCAATGCCAGATCAGGATGGCTTTACGTCCACCTTCCAGGAGAAGCTCTTCAAGGACAGTGCGGAGATTCCCGGGGCATGGTGGGATTCATGATCTTTCACAAATGCCTTCCACAATGCCAACTGCTGTAAAGAATGAGACAGGCAGTGCTTGTTGTGTTTGTCGGCAGGGCAGGGCAGTGAGATGCTCTACCGTTGTTGAACCGGCTCTCGGAAAATCTGCCTGTAGAACCATGCTTTTATGACATTCGGTGTGAGCCGTGCCACTGTGAGAGGAGCACAAGACCTCCAAGTACAATCAAATGCTCTATGTTTCTTGGCTTGTTCGACATCAGTTTACGAAGACCAACGTCGCTCCAGCCGTGCACGTGGCCAAGAGGTCCTGGTAGGATAGGCCATAATGCCCTTCTTTTTCCCGAACAGCGTACGATGCCGCGCCGCCTAAATCTGTAAGCAATGGCACGGTGACCAAGTGCTTCTTTATGTGGGGGAGTGTTTGCATGAAGCTGATTTCAGTGTGCGTGTCTACGGTAACCTTGCATCTCCAATGCTACATCTGAAACGCCGCCATCAGCCACGTAGGTGTTACTGAGAGGAGCATCTTTCGAGAAGCGCCGGGCACATTCACCCAAAAATTTCAGAAAACCCCAGGGCCTCTGGGAACATTCCGAAAACAGCAGGGCCTCAATCAGAAGATAACTCGGACACGTCCAGCAGCGCAGGGCTGCTGGATCTGGGTGATGTAGGGGGATGAGCTGCCATACCTATATGACTTACCAAGCTATGCCTCGCAGTTGTTTTCCTCAAGCACCCTGGCTTTTTGCAAAGGTCGTTTTTCCTAGCGTTGTGTCTGCTAATGTTTATACCTCTGAATGCGGAACACACCAAGTTATGCATCGCAGCTGTTTTTTGTTAAGGGGCTCGGCGTTTTCCGAACGTAGCTTTTTCTTTGCCGAGATTACAAACGTTCATACTTGTCTCCGTATGCAGTTGCCGATCTTCCCACCCAAAGGAGCGACGTCTCGTGCACGGTCAAAGCCGTCAGCGGCTATGACCACGGTTGGCTGGAGCCCAACCAGTGCCTTATCACCGACGGGACAGACTTTGTCCAGGGCAGAGTGGCCGCGCCTTGGCCGCGTAAGCATCGTTTAGCTTGCGCAAGGCTTCCGTGTGAGTGTGAAATTCTCGCTGCGCGATGGAGGTTTGGCGCTACCCATGCCACAGCCCGAAAGACGTGTGTGTCTTGGAGGCCGTCGTGCCGGACAAGGACCGGCTGATGGATCAGTGGCGGGCGCATGCTTTAACTTTTCCTTGCCGCTTTGTTGTAACGTAGATTCTGATTACAGATACAGCGCCGGCCCACGCGCCCAATTTTGATTCGTCGTTCTTGCGCAACTAAATAAAATCAGAGTCAGGGATGCACGCCTTGCGCTGTGTTCTTCACTGATCAGGGGGCCCGCAGCCCTCCCCGACCCTGCCTGAGCAGTGTCAACAGTAGCAAGCCGGTGCAAAATCCACTGAAGGCCCGTTTAAGAGTTCCTTCTTATTGTTAACTTGTTTCTTGTATTCTAGCTGGGTAGTCTTGAATAAGCTTCCTTGTCTTTTGGCGTTTGGAAATATATAGTACCTTAAGTAAAGGAAGTTTTTGGCCCTCTGCCTTTACACCTCGGGGGCTGCATTCCTGAAGAGCACTGATAGGTGTGCGTAGGATCATCTGTGTTGGCACATGGGCGAATCAGCTTGATGCAGCCGCGAAAAACGAGGGTGATGTGCGCGACGCAGTTCCTTGTCGCGGCCAGGACAAAGTCAATGGTCCATTCGAGAAGAACTGCATTGCTCTCAGCCCGAACGGCTACATGAACACCGAACTGGCCGAAGGTGACTTGGAGTGTGTGCTAGCAAAGTTCTGCAGCTACAGCCTGCAGTTGTGAGTTTTGAGATACGCATACGCAACAAGTTTCAGGCGACTTGGACGGCGATGAGAACGAGCTCACAAAGCAGAAAGAAATGGTGAAATTCGTAAAGTTCACGCAGAAGTTTGTCAATAAGCGAAACTGGGAGGCCAGGCTTTTTCTAGGCGGCGCTAGTGTGCCAGAATCCTTTTTTGCTCAGCAGGAGATCAAAGAAGAGGCGCTCGCAAACTTGACGCAGGTTCACACTAAGTGGCCCCCGGGTCAGAGCCGCAGCGGTTTGACTGCAACTATCTTGAATTTTTGTGTTGGTTGGAGGAACTCAGCAAGTCTGACATTAGGTCTAATGTTCGAGCGCTTCTCACTGGCCCTGGAGACCCCGTCTGCTCGTGGCCTTGTGTCGAACATGGGTTTCCAGGCCACGACGTATGCACTGATGAACAAGGAGAGCTCTTGGGTGTGACTGGGTGTGACTTGTTTTGTGAGGGGTGTGTGTCTGTGACGTTTGTCACGCCAGGACGACAAGGTGGCTACCAAGACTGCCCTCATTATGCAGGCCCTTGTGCACAAAGCAGCGGGCTTTAAAGTGAGAGTGGCTTTTGTGGTTAGGTGCTTTAGGAATTCTAGCAGCTGGTGGGAATCGTTGAGGTCACAGACTGTCCGAAGATCTACCCAGTCAGGGCCTACCTGGAGCACTGCAGGGATATGTGCAAGGCGCTGGGGGTCGACGACACTCTCCCAGCTTGCACCGTCTACATACATGGTCGGGGGCCTAGCACTGTCTCACTGTCCGCTTGTGCTCTGGGGGCATGGCTTAGTCCAGGTGGAGAGTTTGCTGGCGAGCCAATTTAGCACGGCAGCCTTCTGCTTCAACCAGGACGCAGCCAAGAAACGGGTCGCTGCTGGGCGTGCGTGCAGAGTTTGTTCATTGCGGTTGCGTTCTACGGGCGTCTGGGGCTCGTAACCAGGGGGCAGGTCTGGTTCCCAAGACAGAAAATCGTCTTGGGGCCATGTCCTCGACATCTTGCGCAAGACCAGGGCGTGCTGTGTTCTCGTGTGTTTGTGTTCGTTTGGTTATTCTTTCTTGTGCTTCTCTTTCTGGCTTTGCCCTTGCTGGTTTCTGCTTCTCTGCCTCACTCCATCTGGTTGTGTGTCTTCATCTCTCTGTGTCTCTCCCTTTCTCGCACTTTTTCTATGGCTTTGTCGCCTTGCTGTGACCTTTTCTGTTCCGTCCGTCCCTGGTTCTCAGGTTGCTGTCTGACTGCGAGTATGCTTGTGGCTACCTGCGGTTCAGGAAGGTGGACCACTGCGTGCTCACGGAGCTCTCGCACTGCTTGGTCCACAAGTCTGGCCTGGCCGTCCAGGACTGGTCGGGCAGGCAGCAACAACTCTGCTTGGTCCACAACTCTGGCCTGGCCACCGTCCAGGACTGGTCAGGCCGGCAGCAACAACTCAGTAAGGCCGGGGTTTCCAAGCGCTAACTCCCGAGCCGTTTTGGCACCTGTGCTGCCAGGCGCTGACGCAGGGCAAGCTGCGCTCCGGGTCTAATGGCGGCTGCAACAGGCTGGATGTGTGCGTGTGCCCGTGTGTGCATTTATGGGAGCACCGTGTGTCTTTGCGACGCCTTGTGCAGGAAGGCGTTGTTCTGAGGGCAAGATGCGTGAGGAAGCCCGTCTGGATAGGTATTGACTTCTGGTTGAGAGATGATGAAGAAGCTATGAGCAATATTGGGAATCGGGATAAGGTTCTTTATCTTAAGCATGCAGCGGAAGCTTTGGTGACCGAGGCTGTGTAACTTTGCTTTATTTTGGTGGTGTAAGTCTAGACTTGAGTAAGCAAAAAAAGACATGGTGCCTAACATCGTCTCATGTTTAGCATCATTTCATGTTCGAGCTTCGGTAGTGATGGACGGCATCTAGTCTAGGTGGGCGCTGAGATTGAGATGTTGAGAATAGTTGAACAGATTGAAATCGATCAGTGTCGCTGATCTCTTGAAGCGTCAGCAGATGATGGTCACGACGCGGTTTGCGTAAGCTCTGGCCGATGAGGTATGCAGGGGTAGCTTCGGCGACCGAGACAGCCGAATATACAGAAAGGGACGCTGTGGAGGCCTAGTTTTTCCACACAGTGGATTTCAATGATTTCTACCCTCCCGAAATTTTCGGGTTTAAAAGGGTCATCTATGTGATTGTCGGAATGATTTTCAGGTTTCGGTACTGATGGACGATAGCTAGTCTAGCTTGGTGCTAAGTTGGTGCTAAGATGTTGAACAAATTGAGGCCAATCGCGTGGTGTTTTCCGAGTGAGGCTTTTTCTATTCTTGAAAATAGGCTACTAATGTTCATACTTATGAAAGCAGCACGCACCAATTTATGCCTTGCAGATTTTCCTCAAAGGAAACGCGCGTTTTCCGAATGGTTTTTTCGGTAGTTGAATTTATTATTATAATGTTATACTCAGGAACGCAGAACACAGCAAGCCATGCCTCGTAATTAGTTGTTTTCCTAAAGGGGCATTGCGTTTTCCCTATGTGGTCTTTCTGGGTACTGAAAATAAATACTATTAAATACAACTGTTCGTATTTATGAATGCATAACGCGCCAAACTATGCCTCGCAGTGATTTTTCCTCGCGGGGCCTCGCATTTGGTGAATGTGGCTTTGTCTAGTTTTGGGTTTACAAATGTGTATACTAGTGAACGCAATGCCTGGCAGTTGTGTTCCTAAACGGGCGTGGCGTTTTCCCCATGTGGTTTTTTCTTCTGTTAGGAAATACTAATTGCTGATGTCGTTTTTGATGAATCCAGACTGCACCGACGTATGTATGCCTCGGACTCGTTTTCCTACAAAGGAGCAGGATTTTCCGAATGGAGTTTCTTCTAGTGGTGAATTTACTAGTTACTAGTGTGCATACTTATGAACACAGAAGAGATGCGGAAAGAGAGAGAGAGAGGGGGAGGGAGAATGCCTGCTTCCCACACCCTTGAGCAAAGCACAGCAAAGAGGGAGAGTGCAAAACGCGTCTTCCAGCTATTGCATTTTTATTCTTTGCATCACTAGTGCTCATATTATATTTATAAAACAAACTGATACCAAAAAAGTGGGGAAGGCACATAACGCTGGACTGCTCGGCAAGCTTCTGTGGTTTTGCTGTTGGGGTCGGCTGCCGATATCATGCATGAGAGAATTGCTCAGAGTCTTACAGTGTGCCCATGAGGTGAGCCCAACATTTTCTCTTGTCGAGCTTAGGTTAACGGAAGCTCCTCCATCGTGTCCGGTGCCACGTTACTGGCCACTGGCGGAGCAAGCAAGGCCAGAGACCTTAGTGCCATAGTGCGAAGGGAAGATTATACAGGTTATGCATGTTCTAGGCAAGCCCTGGCATGACCTTGGAAATCCTAGCCAGATTGCTATCCAAAGCACACACGCACACACACACACACACACACACACACACACACACGGAGTTCTTGACACATGTGGCAGTCAAGATTTTGGCAGTTCGGCAAAGTGGAAGTACATCACCGCGCACCCTACAAACACCTTTGTAGCACCCGGCTGCGACTGCTCAACACATCAAGCTCTCCATGGGCCGAGTCAAGCTGTTGTGCGAAGTAAATCATGCAAAACTCAGCACCACACGATGCCTTGTGGCGTGAGGCACCCTGAGCCCTGAGCTACAAGCAAATAGTATACGTAGAGGAGTTGCTGGAAGTGCCGTCCCGGTTGGAAGCTCCAATCTCAGCATTTCAGGCCATGGGCTTCGTGAGCAGGCGCTGGCGGCTTGTGTCACTTTCATCATCAGATGCGAAGCCAGAAACAGCTGAAGTTGCTTGTGAATTTGTATTAGATCGGCGTTGCTTGTCAATTCTACGTCTTGGGTGAGATGTATGCACAACACAAGTCCCCGCACAAGCTGCTCCGCCTTGTCAAGAACGTAGGCTACGGAACCGCACTGGGGTTTCCACTACACTGAGATTGGTGTGCGCCTGACATGTAAAGTGTTCTACGTGTCATGCTGGACTTCGTCGAGCCCTCATGCCGAAACTCTCCCGCCCGGCTCTGGCTGTTGACCGAGATCGAGCTCTGAACTCCAGCTGGTGGCAGAGTGCCGCAGGCATCCATCCATTGTCTTCGACGCCTCATTTCTGTCAGCCTCTGCAGTAACTGGACAGCCGGCGCCCCGGATTAAGCGATTGGCATTGGATGCAGAGTTGTTGGATTGGACTCGGCGGTCAGACGAGCCACCTTTGAGGTTGCATGGATGGGGACAGAGAAAGAGCCCAAGAGCGAGAGTGTGTGCACGCTGGCTTCATGCTCGAATGAAGCAGCATCACCGAACTCACGAGCCACTCTTTTGCCATTCTGCCGGGTGCTGCCGGGTAACGTTTAAGCGGCAGGGTCTGCGGCCCTAGCAACAGTGTTCCGGCCGTTTCATACCCGTCAATTCCAGGCGAGCCAAGTTCTCAGTCACAAGAAGCGCCACCGCAAATCGCTCGGAGTTCTGGGTTCACGGATGTTCACAGAAAAATGGAAACAAGTCGCCTGTCGCGAGATGTGTTGCTGCATTGGGCCGTATGGGCCATCTTCGCGGTCTTCCTGAGGTTTTTCATCTACTCGCTGGTGAAGGCCTGGACCATGAGCGGCAGCGAAGCTGTGAGTGGCCCAGAACCAGAAGTCACAGGTGACCCAGAGCTCCCAAAAGCATCTTGGAGCCTCTGAGACCCAAATTTTGACACCAATGCAGGAATTTGGAGCCTTGGTCCTGGCTGCGACCATGAACATGCGACAAGTTCTCTCCATCCTGGCATCGTACATATTGTCGCTTGGATGTTGTCGTAAGCCTGGCTGGTGCAAGATGAGTATCCGAGTATCCGGTAAGGTGCTTTGGGCTTATGAACGGTGTTGCATGCAGCTGTGTCGCGCGTGATGGTCCATTGTTCGCACAACGTATGGCTTGCTTGACGCTTTCAGTCGTTGACCTGACGACGAGCTATACGAGACTACGTGGGTGCTCTCAGGGATGTAAGTATCGGGCGGTTTCTGCTCATTGCAGCCTGAAACTTAACATGCGAGTTTGCCGAATGGGTCTCATCTGCCTTTCCCTAGAATCATACACTCATCGTCACCTATTCCTCCGTCCAGCCCCAGGTTCCAGTCGGACACCGGAAAAGGGCTAGACGAAATCTTGAGTTTGCCTGGGTCAATCTAGCCGATCTCTGACTGGAACACTTCATAGTGCAACACACAAGCACCACCAGCACATGGATCAAGCAGAATTTGTCGGGTTACAATATAGCAAAGCCTAGAATCTCGTGTTGTGGCGGAAGAGACGATAAACCCAAAGAGTCGGTCGAGAGACTGTTGCCAATGAGGCTGACGACACTTGCTGTTGTGCCTTGTGGAGCCTCAGTTGACAACGACACTCCTGAGGGCGAGTGCTTTGGAGCTGTGTCAACGAGTCTGATGGCCACCATGGATGGAAGGCCTCCAAAGTGTGCCAAAATCCCGAATGTCTAGCAGGATGTGGAAGGCGAGCACAGCGAAGCCGAACTCATAGCAGAAATGACGGCCACAGAACCTCAAACCGCAATAGGAGATCATGAGCGACCCCAGAAGGCTTACGATGCCCTCAAACCTTGCCCTGGGCAGAGTGCCTCCGCGTCTCAGGATCAGATGCCAAGATGTTGAGTCTATGCTCAGGTACGTGCATCCCATCAGCATCGCGCAGATCCTCGCCCTCATCGTGGTCTTTGCATCCCTGTTCTACAAGAGTTTCTTGCCAAGAAGTTGCAATCATGTGGCAGCGATGAAACCCCAGATGTCTTTAATTTAACGTCACAGAAGAGGCTGCGACGTGCTGCACGTTTCTTTGATAGCTGATGTTTGCGACATGTCCTGTCCACTCTCGTGGCTGAGACATCAAAACAAGACACCAGTGCTGCAACGCCAGCGTTAACGTTGCCAAAAGTAGCGACAGTAGAGGTCGCAGTCGGGTGGCAGGGGCAGTGGCGGTGTGAGCAGCAGCAGTAGCAGCAGTAGTAGTAGTAGTAGTAGTAGCAGCAGTAATCGTCGTCGTCGTGAGGAGGAGGAGGAGGAGGAGGTAGTGGTGGTGATTAATTAAGTGGTGGTTGAGTCGTGGTTCTAGTGGTTGTGGTTGTGCTCTCACGTCATGATCATGATTTTGCATGAGTGGCTACAGTGGCGGCGACCGTAGAATGGGAACAAATGGCAAGGACCATCATTGCGATCTCGATGTCGCAGGGTATGAACTGTTGGAGAGGAACTGCAGCAACCCGCATTGTGGCCAGTGATATTGCATCGCCGACCACCCCCGGCACGACCAGCGCACCCGCCAAGACAGTGTTTTTCCACAGCGGCCGGAATCATTCTCGTCGCGGACGACTTGTTATGATGACTATGTCGAGAACAGAAGCGCGTCGTCACCCGACCCACAGCCTTCGAGAACGACCGCAGCAGCGAATTCTCATTCACATGCTTGCGGTCCTTCGGATGTCGTGTTTATTCGTTTTGCGAGTCATGCCCGGTGCGATTGAATGTCGCTTTCCAGGTTACATGGGCTACGCAAAGAAGAAGGCGAAAGATGCTGCAGGCTGTTGGCCACGTGGGTTAGCTGTCAGTTGCTGCGTCGTGAAGATTGAACCAACTCAATGAGATTCGCGTTTCGCGGTGTTTTTGTGTTTTCGGCGCAGTGAACCGGTATCTGGAATTCCGGTAATCACTTGCTTCGTGACTCGCCGAGCGGTCGTTTGTCGCAATGGTCGGCTCCATTCGACACTCGCCTGCGGAACGGAAAGGGCACCGGAAACCCGAAGATATTTGAACATCATTTGTTGCCGACTGTTGCAATTCTTGCAGATACCGTAGGGTTTTCCGAGCAGCCACAGCCTTCTGCAGGCGGCATTCCGCAGGCTCGCTGGGAACGATGGGAAGGAATTTTTGTTTGCGCCGTCGCAGTTACTGCCAGGCCATGCCTCAAGGCAACGAAAGCACGGAAGAAGCGCACGCTCAAACCTCTCCTTTCAGGCAGTGGGCAAGTCAGCAGCTGCAGAGGCGGGTTAAGAGCGTTCACCGTTCTGCTTGTGCTGCCAGCCGCGCTGTGTGGATCCGTAGAATTTGCACGGGGCAAGGATAGACTGTTCCACGGAGCAGCTTCGACCCTATCTGTATGGAACATCCCTTGCGAACCCGTCAGGCAGCAATCGTTGTCACTGGAACCACGAGAAGTGCACCAAGCATCGGAGTAGAAGCCAACAGCTTCCTAGAAAATGACAAATGCGGGCGCAATTGTGTGTCGCTGCATCTTCGTGTTCGCAGGAGTTGGAGGAGCTGAAGACCAACGAGGTCCAGAGTAAGGGGTCAAACAGAAGCTGTCGTTTGAGGGTCCTCACAGTTGCAGAACCCTGCATGCACTGCGCTGACTGAACTTTCCCGAGGTGCTTCCCTTTTTGCAGACAAGCGTCACCCGTGTTCCCATCCAGTATCCTATGTTGTCCTGAAGTTGGCCCTTTCTTGACAGCATCCCTTCAGCAAGCCTGTGTGCAGGAGCAGAAGGCGGTGCTTGCAGAGGACACGGAAGAAGGCCAGATTCAACAGAACGTCTGCGACTCACATACGTCATAAAATTTCTCCGTCGTTGCCTCATATGTCTTCCGCACAACTCGGCTTCTAAGCGTTGCAGCAGTGTGGCTGGGTAAGTCTGGAGCGTCGAGCATGCACGGCTGCATGTTGATCCTGCACATATAAGGACAAGAAATAGCGCGCTTCAACGCGTGTGACCCCGGAACCTTGGTTGCAGCTAAAGGGCCTGAGCAACGCGCGTTTTTCCGGTAGTCCCTGCGAAAACACGGAGCGGAAATGATTCGAAGTTCTACCTGCTACCACAATATCTTTCTTTTGCTTCAAGGCGAGAAGCCTCGAAACTTTACTCGCATGCCCAATGTCATCCAGTCGCGTTTTGTATACAGTACTAGCCTCTACCAGCTACCAGCAGCGACATCTGCAGGTGCTGGTGCCACCGATCGTGAGAAGTGCATCTCTCCGCTTGCCATGTGCAAGTAGATCTTCTCAGTAGGATCAGGTTTTCTGCCGGTAATCTGATATGAACTGTGTCAGCCTGATTTTCGTTTGGCCAACAGAGGTAGGGTAGTTTCTGGGCAGCTGCCGGGTAGAAGCCGGTAACCGCTGCTTTCAAAAACGTGCACTTTAATGGAAGTGCAGCTATGCACCGCGACTAGCCTTGAATCTCCTACTGTATGGCTTACAACATAGTAGCGTGTGGCCGCTGGCAGCCGCTGCCTTCGTTCAGTGGGTGGAACATTCCCACACGGCCGACACATGACGTCAGCTTTCACCCCGCTAAGGCTCGGGGGAAGCGGTACTTCTACCACACGATTCTTTCAACATGTCCAGCTGTGATGTTTATCGTGTTGGCCGGCACTGCCTCACCTTTGTTCAGTGGGTAATAATTCCCATCATCTACGCCTTTACACTCGTCCCAGGGACTTGTCCTTGCGCGAGCCTTTCAGCATATCCAGCTGGCTACATTGCCTGCAAGGATGAGGGCAGGCAGGCTTGAAGCCCAAGCCGCCCTCATGGTTTTACGTAGCCATTGTAGCTCTGGCATTGGTTGGCAGATTGGCATGGTGTCAAAGAGCCAAGGGCCAAGAAGAAGTGCAGATGCATCATGTTTGTGTGGATACCGTAGGACCCGGGCTGTCCGTCCTGGACTCCTGCATTGTGTTGTGAATCTCACCCCATTGTAGTGTGTGGCAGTTCATTGCACGTTGTCAGCTGCTGCCTTGGACGATCTTGCTGCCAAGCATGGACATGGAGGCGAAGAACAGTGAACTTTGTGAGAGTCTTGCTCAAGCGATGCTGCTGATCTAGCAGCGTAGCTCCAGGCCGGCAGCGGCTGTTGTGCCAGCCGCATCGTCCAATGGCCCGATCTGGAACAAGCTGCGATTTCTCAAGCAATGGTTCAAGAGTACTTCGGCAAGCATATCTGGCCGGTGGGATAATCATCACTACTGGTGTCTACAGCTTCTTGCAGGAGAGGACCATCTCCCAACCTTACCAGAAGGAGCACTTCAAGGCTACCTTGTTCTTGATTTGTTGCAACCGCTTGGTGTGCGCATCGTATGTGACGGCCATGCTTCGGTATGAGGTTATAAGGACTTCGGCACGCAGTCGGCTTCGTGGAAGTATTTCACGCTGTCCATTGCCAACCGTTTTGGCACTATGATGCGTTTCGACACTTTGGTGTTGCAGACCTCCGCGAACTCCTTCAAGATGGTGCCACGCATTCTCTTGGGCCTCGTGGCATCGAGGAATTACTCCTTAACAGACTGGCTCGTGGTTTGTTAGGTGGTCATTGGAATCGCTTCGTTTTCGCTGCATCCGCCCTGCTTCCCTCTGCCCGGCAGCCGTGGGCAAGTTCTACGTGCATCTTCTCGACGCTCGAAGAGTTTGGGGCGCTGCATGCAGATGCAGCCATGAACTGTAGACAGGTGGCCACGTTCTGCATAGCCTACATTCGCGAACCAGGCAAAATGATATCGCAGCGTTTCCTTTGGGCTTTCACTGTAAGTCACACGGGCATTCTGCGACAGCCGGTGCCACTGGACAGGGAGGACGTCTGAAGTTGCCGCCCCGTGTGCGCAGTCGGGCGTGAGATGGAGGAGCCAGACGCTTTTGCACAACAGGGGCTGAGTTGCGATTCCTTTTGCATGTCTGACCGAAGTGACAAAACAGGCAACCCGCTGCTGCCGCTGCTCTTTTTGTGCAGCTCTCGCCATGTGAAGAGCTTGCCCTGGCATTCGAGAACCTCCCACCAGTTTCACCCCGAAGACTGCTCGTGGGCGCTTTGCAGTGCCCCTCTCGCGCATCCCCGTTTGAACACGCAACGCTCGCAGTGTGCGGCAGTATGCCTGGCATGCCAAGCTTTTCTCTATGCTCTAGGGGGCCCATGCCTCGCGTTCAGACGACGAATGCTGTTGAACTGCATTTGTGACGCATTGCGGCATTGGTGTTATCTCAAAGTTGCTGTTGTTCAGCTTTTGGGTCGAGCGCTCGATTTAGCAACTGCACTTATGAAGTCTCTTAGGACGGATTAGGGCAACGAAGCATGGTCGACATCACGTTCTTCGCATATCCCAGTCCCTTGGTTTGGTGGCACCTTGTGCTGAACCAGTTGGCTCGGGCTTTCGGTGCCTTCATCATTGGCTGCTTTGGGATGGGTGGTGGGGTCATCTACGTGCCAGCCCTGCTGCTGCTGCCTGGTGTGAACTCGAGCGTGGCTGTGCCCACGTCCTTTTTCGCGGGCATTTTCGGTGCATCTGCACGATTCATCCAAGCTTACCGCTCGGGTCGCTGCAATCTACAAGCTTGGCCTTTGCTGATTGGTGCAGCACCAGGGGCTGTGGCCGGCCAGCTGCTTTTACCGTATATCCCAACCTCCATTGTGGCTCTTGCTGTGGCACTGATTTGCATTCGCAGCGGTGTGATGATTCAAATCAAAGTTGCCAAGGAGTACGCCGCACAGCAATCCGAGAAAGGCATGCCGAAAGCCCAGGCTGGAACTAGTGAAGCTCCTCCACCGGAGCTACTCTCAGCTATCGGGATGAGAGAAGTCGAAGCTGAACATGTCAACAGTGGCAACATGGCAGCTATAGCATCTTCCGACAAGACGGCTGCTAAGCAAAGCACTCAATGCGCTGCATATTGGTGTTTGCCATGTGGAACATGGACCCCGCAGCCGCAAGCCAAATCCCAGGACTGCGACCTTTTGAAAAAGCATAGTTCCATAACCGCGTCCCCTGTGAAGCCACACGAGAACCCTGCAGAGGAGCAACCTGAGGAGACCTCGCCGACAGCTGCGTCAGCTACGTCACGGAAGGCAGAAGAGCCAGCCAGTTCCGAGAAATCTCCACCCGCCGCATTTCCATCTTCACCCACGTGCATAGCTACAGCATTCGTCGCAGCTTTGCTCTCGTCCATTGGAGGGGTTGGAGGACCTTTGATCTTTATACCAATGTGGATGCAATTCGCGGGAAGCACACCGCCCAAGACTCTTTTGGCCATATCTACCGTCTTCACCTTCACTATTACGCTTTGTGCTTGCGTCTCAGGCTTCTTCGTTGGAAAAGTCGACGCAGGATTGGGCCTCCTCAGTGGCTTCACGTCCGTGGTGTTTGTATTAGTGGGCGGCCGCTGCATGGAACTCCTTGGCGACAGCAGTCTGAAGTGCATCACCGGCTTTGCGCTCGCTGCCTTGGGCGCAGCTGTCGGCATCCGAGCCCTACTTTCGATGCTCGACGCCTAGGGCCTAGTAGGATCTTACAGACGCCTGCCAGAGGATTGGGGCATTGGGGATTGCTACCCCATCTGCCTGGCATGGTACTCTCTTTCTCAACACTCGGAGGGGGTAGAGATGCAGATTGAAGTGGATTGCTGCATAAGCAGTGCTGCAGCAGCACTCATGTGCCCACGGCAGTTGCCTGGCTTGTCTTGTTGCACCGGCTTGTGTTCAGAGGGTTTGATTTGTTCAGGGGTAGAGCTTTCTTCTGAGTATGGAAGATGATTGTTAAGCGGTCTCACCTTTTAATTATTCATCGCACGAGTCCAAAGGACTCGTTATTGCGAATTTCTGTCAGCGGGCCAGCCGGGAACAGCCAGCAACGGCGTCTGCCAAAGAATGAGCACTTGGGATCTCAGGCAGTGCGCAGATAGCTCTGCTTGCCATTTACCCTCCTAATTCCTAGTGGTTGCTATAAACTAGCCGGGTAGCTGCTGGGCAGCCAGTGGCCCCTGCTTTCAAGACTCGCATCTCATAACAGGACTTGTGCTGGCCATGGCTGGCCTTGCTTGAATCTCCTAGTATTGTCGCGTGCTCACTTTGTTGTAGTGTACGGCATTTTGGCAGCCGCGGGTAATAGATTCCCACACGGCTGACAAATGGCGTCGGCTTCCTCCGCGCTATAGGGCTCGAGGGAAGCAGTAGCAGTGGACTCTATCTACGCTTCACGCTGGTCCTAAGGACCTGCTGTTTCGAAGGTCTTTCGGCATATCCAGCTGGCTACATTGCCTGAAGGATGAGGGCAGGCAGGCTTGAAGCCCAAGCCCCCCATCATGGTTTCTCGCAGCCATTGTAGCCCTGGAGTTTTTGGGCAGATTCGCATGGTGTCAAACAGGGCCAGTCAAGAGGCAAGGTTCGAAGTTCAGATGCCACAACTCCTCCTCTCCAACAAACCATCAGTATGTTGATCACGACGGTCTAAACCCAGCTCATGTTCCCTATTGGTGGGTGAGCACTCCGACACTTTGAGACTTCTACGTCTCAATGATAGGGAGAGCCGACATCGAAGGACCGGAAAGCAGCATCGCTATGAAGACTTGACTGTCAGAAGCCAGTTATCCCTGTGGTAAGTCATTCCTGTGGTAATTTGTCTGACACCTCTAACTGAATATTTCTCAGACCTAAGGATCGATAAGCCATGTTTTCACAGTTTGTGTGTTTCGTACTGAACTGGAGATCAAAATCAGGCAACCTTTTTCCCCTTGCGGTCGACATGAGATTTCTGTTCTCAGTGAGCTTACCTTAGGACACCTGCATTATCATTTAACAGATGTGCCGCCCCAGCCAAACTCACCACTTGATGACGTCAGCTCCGACCGATGAGTCCTTTAGATTCCGCGGCGTGGGTGGAGCAAAGTATCACAATCGCTGCCATGAGCCCTCCCTCCAACAGCAAGGTCAAAATTCAAGTTATAGATTCTTTCTCTCCAGACTCACCCGTGGCTGCCTGCCGCTCAACCTCAAGCTTGCGCCTGCACCGCACTAATCCAAAGCTGTCCGAGCCAGTGTGTCGATCAGTCCGACAGCAGGAGATTACTGAAGTTGAGAGAGTCGCAGAATTTTGCGAAGTCTTACAATGTTTTGCATTGCAAGTCAATCGTTGTAATGTGCGATCACCCGGAGCCACCATGCATGCGCCAAGATGATGGATGAAGATGGCAGGTATCGATACACAGGACGAGCTGAGTAGGACTGTAAAACCCTTGCGCAGAGTTACGCACGCACCGCAGCGCAACTTCTGAAGATATGAAGCTCAACACGAAGTGCGACAGTTCAAGTGTCAGTTCCAGGAGATGGAGACGGCTTCGACCTGGCAAGCAATGCCGTCTGCGATGGAGGAGCTGGGTCAGAGCGGCGCGACCAAACACATCCACACCTGTACCTATTGCACCGACCTGTAGTCCTGTAGATTTGGCTCGGTTTTTCCGCATGTGCCAGTGTCGGATCGGCTGCCGTGCCGCAAGCTGCCGCAATCTCTTGCGAACATTGGATGCATCACAGTGAGGAGAGGGTATGACGAGAATCTACAGTTCCCCTCTCTGCACCCGCGTCGGACCGATCGAAAAGCAGAACCGTGGAAAATTTGGCTTTCAACCTTCCGTGTAGAAGTTGAGAAGCTGCGGATACCTCCTGGGGCCTAGGGTTGACGCTGCACGGCAAACCGTGGAAGCGTGCCCGGAGGAAGCAGTTCCGCTCAAAGTGCTTTGCCTCAGCCTGGGCCTCGGAAGCTTCAGGGTGCGGCGGGATTGAATTTGGGGTGCAGTAATGCCAGGCTTGAGGCTCCAACGGTGCGGAGGTAGCAAAAACCTGAACAAGTTCTTGGCGTTTTCTGGATCGAAGTTTTCACTTCGGCTCCCCGAAGGCGGGTAGAAGGCTTTCAAAACCTGACGTTCTGGGCCTGCGAAGACTCGCATCGCGACTCTGGTAGCGATTCGCTCGTGAGGCGATCCCCCACGGTGATTTCTTTGCTCTCCGGAAGGCCGGTGTTCCAGACCCCGTGAAGCTGTTGTGCGAAACTGGTCGAATCCGGAAGAAAAGGACATAAGCAAACGAGAGAGGATCTGGCACAGGATGAGAGTGGCTGTAGCTTATCTGTAGTAACCTCAAGCCTTCCCCAACGTCTCGCGTGATGGTGAGACTCCAGCAGGCAACAGCACTGGACCACGCACACAACTGCCCAAGCTTCGTGGATCTTGTGTCCGACAGTCGTTTGGTGCGCGATGCAGGACCGGCGCCGAGCTCGAATACTTCCTAAGGGTCTTTTGGGTGCCGGCGGCGGCTTTCGCGGCAGCGGAGGCCGTTACCATGACACGTCTAGCAGAATCTAGCACTGTAGGTCTCGGCAAGCACTGAGCCGCGAAATCGAGCTGCTTCTGCACCTGCAACCTGTCGTTTGTGCTCAGATGCTTACCTTCCTGGTGCGGCGGGCCAGCTTCTTCGTGCCGACGGCATGACTTTTGCGGAAGCCCAAAACCCACAGACCATTGACGGCGTCCTTCCGACTTGCGATGGAGACACGACGCACCTGTTGAGCTGAACTGCTGCGGCGCTGCTGCAGTTTGCATGTTTCTGAACTCTGGTCTCCAAGTTGGTTTGAGTTGGCTTCTGTAGGAGATGTTGTAGGGTTCACAGCATCTTATTGTTGCACCTGCGAGAGAGACAAACATGCGTATGCTTGCCCCGGACTTCCGTGCCAGGTGGTATTGACTGCGGCGATCTCAGCTGTTCCGGACCTCCAGAGGCCCGGTTGTCGTAGCTTCCCGCCACTGAGGACAATGCTTTTGAAGTCGGCCCGACGTACAGCAGAGTCGTCGAGGCATGTTGCAATCCTTCTCATTGCGACCGTGGGATCATATCACTAAAACCTCATGGCACAAGTGCAGGTCCACGTTTGGGCAAGCATCGCGATGTGGAGTCTGGCTGCTGCGCTTTGTGCGGCAATAGGGGGGCAGCGGGCTGTGCAGCCTCCCGCCTCCCAGAAGCGCTGAGTGATTGCATTGCACCTCCAAAAACCCCGAGCTACCGCCTTGGGCTCAGGGACCCTCGGCTTGGGGATGCTTCATGCTTCTTTGCTCGGGATGATTTTGAGGTGCAAATCCTGGGTGAGCAACTGCGTCGCCGGCGCGACCTTGCTTGGATCCATCGCTTGGCGGGCCAGGCGCTTTCACTCAGAGCCTTTGGGGCCTCGAGTAGCCCCTATTGCTATTCTGTGGCGGCTCCTGTGCTGATACGCATGCCATGAAGCACACACCCTGGAAGACCCTTTGGTCTACTGGGTTGCATTTGGCTCTCGGTCGGGCTCTCCTGCAGGCCATGCTGTTGCTCTTCTTCTTGGTCGTTCTTCCAACCAGCCTCTACCTCTCTGCACTGCAGCACCTTGGCGGCGAGCTTCACCAAGGGCTGGTTCACACAAGTCCTTTAGATCGGGAGGATTCCAAGCGAGAAGCAGGGAAGGCAGGCCGAGGCAGGCCGACGCAGGCAACTCGGGCTCCGCCGCTCCAAGGCGCATCGACGTCCTGGCTCCGGCCGTGCCTCGGCCAAAAGACGACGGTGATGGCGCTGCTTCTGTGCCGCTGCGTCTATCGTGCTTCGACACCCGGGATCCCAAGTTCCCAAGCACAGAGCGAGGTTGAAGAAGGTTCTTCGTGTTCTTGTGTTTGGAAGGAGATTGAAATGCTGATAGCCCGCGGCTGCGATGACGGAAGAAATGCCACAAGCGCACGACAGTCATGTTTCTCTTCGCCCCTTGCATCGTGACATGCAGCACATTGCTGGTGAAGTTTGGTCACCGCCTCGTTTCTCTGCACGGACCGCTTGATGATCGAAGTTGCCATCTACAGTAGTTCGAATCTGGCGTGTAACCATCGTGTGTTGAAGTTGCAGGGGCAGTAAGTTGATTCAGAGTCATTCAGCACCAGTTGGTAGCACGACCACAACTGCCGCCCCCGCAACTTGGTCTATGAGTGCTCCGATAATGTCTGGCTCTATTCTGCACTACCCGAATCACTGTACTACCACCACCACTGCGTCAAGAACTCGCTTTGCTGCTGTACTACGACTGCTACTACCGGCCACCGGCACGACGAGCGCTGCGACGACGGCTCGCGACACTGACGACGACTTGGACTACGACTACAACGATTACAGCTAGTACTTCTGCCTCTAGCCATAAAGGATAATGCCGCTGCTCCTCCTGCGTATTCAGCGACGGTCAGGTTGCCGCGGTGCTTCTGGATACGGCGTTTTGCACTGCATTCTTCCTGCGACTTGGTCGAACATCGAACGTACAGCCTGAGCTGTTAACTCCGCTGGACACCATGACTCCTGACAGCTTCTGTCTCCACTGGACCTAACATGACTCTTAGCCCTGCCCGTCCATGCCTTAGACTTGGTCGAAGGTATCGCGGCTGGCGGGTCGCGCGGCTTCGGGCCTCGACGGGTCCTCGGCCTCCAAGCACATGAATGGAGTCTTCAGCTTTGCAGCATGGGCACTCTGTTTTTCGCCGAGGTCGAAATCTCTTGTGGTGCATGGCAAGCTGATGCAGTGCGGCACCATGATGCCACTTGCATTCCAAAAGAGTTGCATTCAGGCATGAAGCTAGGGACCACTCTTTCATGCAACGTTGGGGACTGTTGAAGATCCGGGCTGTGCCTGGGGCTAGCGGCCTTGCGTCGCAGAAGTTGGGACCTTCAGAATAAGCTGGGAGGCTTAGCAGGTGTGCCAAATCCCAATTCGCTTCAAATCTCAGCGCCAAGGAGCATGGCCATCTTGCCTCAGCGTTTCTTGCAGCTGTACCTGACGATGCAGTTAAAGGGCCACCATCAGGCAGGCCTGCGCGAAGAAAGAAAATTTTGATTTGGATAAGAAGCAGAGTGATTCTTTTTTGGGACCCTGGGTGTCTGAGCCAGATGCCAGCTATTACGAAGGCAAGGGCAGGTAGGTTTGGCGATGGCATGCCATGCTTCACCCCGTTCCTCGAATGCGTCGTCGTGTCAACGAGACAGAGACAGAGATAGCAATGTTTTTGCATGTCCACCTCCTCGCTTTCTCTTTCTCGTGCCTGCGTACGAACCTCAAAGGGTACTGCATTGCTTCGTTGCAGGCGGTGAAGTTCATGCTCCGGATTTCGTGTATTACGCATACTTATGTCTTCGTGCTGCATACGACGTGTAAAGCTTGGCGCGGGACATCTCGCAGGCAACATTCAGTAGCTCAGCACGGTCTGTCGGGTTCAAGACACAACGAATAACTAATATCAGCAAGATCAACTAGCGATGTCATATCTGTTACCTGCGCAGTGCATCATAGACTGCAAGCAAATATCAGGTTGCGTGTAGTAGCCGCCCGGTGCACGAAGCGACATCTTGCCCACAGTGTCTACTCGCGTGTGGCTACCCAAGGCCCCGTAGACTCGCTCGGAGCTACCCGGCTACCGCAAGCCAGAAGAGGCTTTTGGCTCGTAGGTGAACTACTCCGCCTCCATCCTGGTGACCTCCATCCTCTTCTTCGTCTTCGGGCACTTCCAAAAAGGACCCAGAGGCCGGAGAGGAGCATAAAGTACACGAAGACGCAGCAGTGTTGCTTTGATCGGAAGTGTCTTCCGGTAGGCTTCATCTGGATGAACTGCATCGGCAGTGACAATGCCGAAGAGGTGACGGGACAAAGACTGACCCTGGTTTGCTAGAGTGCCAGAGTCTTCATGCTAAAGAGATATGATGCGAACGGATGCTTTGAACCACCGGCATGGGGGACAAGGCATTTGCAAGTGAAGGCTTGGAACTTGGGACACTTCTTGCTTTTGCCTTGAGGCCTTTGGCAGCCGCCATGCCTCCCCCCTGGAGCAGTGGAGTTGGAAGCTGCGATGGTGCGCGGCTTTGTCTTTCCATATCGTGCGCGTGTGTCCGCTTTGGAGGCTGGAGGTGTCCGGAGGTTTATGAGGTGGGGTGGCACAGAACTTGAAGTGGGGCAGGGGCAGGGGCCCCGGCCCCCAAACGAGGCTGGCCTACGTGCCCATCTACTACGCCATGCGATTTGCCCTCGAGTAGAGGCCGAGATTTGGAGTGGAGGCTCCGATGAAACGGCACGTCCCTCCGCAACGAGGAGCCTTCAAGGAGCCTTCAGGAGCCTCCGGCCTTCATCGCCTTACCGGGGACGAGGCCTCGACTCGCAACCTTCGAGCCCGGGCCACTTCGCGGATCTGCTGGCAGTGATCGCGAGGGATGAAGGCAGAGCTCTTCTCTCACGAGCTTCGGTGCCTCCGATGCAGGGAAGAGACCTTCCTGCCAAAGGCCAAAGGCAGGGGCAGAGGTCCGCAGAAAAAGCGCTCGAGTTGTTTGGTGCTGTCACGGCCAGCCCCAGGCTTTTGAAGTTTTGGTCAAGCGAGAGAGGAGGTTTGTTGACGCAGGCTTCAGCAGCTTCGCAAAACAACACTTTCGAGCGGAGGCAATGGATCCAGTGCTGCAACCCATGAACCAAACGGCAGTAGAAGAAAGTTGACGGGCCATGGCCATATCGTCGCACCGACCAGTCGGATGGGGAAGTACTGAAGTGCTCGATATACACGAGTCATTGCAAGCCTGGATATCCACAATGTCCTTTGACTCCGCTACTCCTATTTTCCACAAGCTCAGGCAACAGAGTACCGCTTGCGAAAGCGAAGCCGACTCAACCCACCAGCCACCAGCCGAAGCTCACTTGAAACCTCTATGCTGCCCGGCTTTCGCTTCGACTTTCGTCAACGGATTTGGCTGCTCCTGTGACTTGCCCGCACTGGGGAGAGTCCATCAGGTCATTTCTATATTCCGCTGGTGAGGGTTGGAGACAAGTGGGAAGATCAGATTCGTGCCACACTCTTCCTGTAGATATCGGTGACCGCCCATGGGTTCGCCAGAAGACGGCAACCCCCGAGCGGAATGCTAAGACAAGTCTTCAAGAACATGAAGAGTGCAGCTCATCGCCAGCATAGTAAGTGCTATGAAGTACTACCCGACGACATGGTGGGAAGAGGGATACTGGGCAGAGTCGGAGCTCGAAGCAAGCACTGCAATCACCACACGTGCCGCCTTGGCTACGTCTTGTAGATGTCAATGTTCAGTACTAGGAACTGTCAGAGCAGTACAGGGTCACTTGCAGTGCGATCTAAACGATACTTCAAGAGATGGCAGCTTCTTGATTGAAAAGTACGAAATTTAGAAAAGAATTGCAAAGCAACCGCTCCAAGGGCGAGCACCCACATCGGCGACGGTATCGCTTCACTTCCTTCAAATCTCCGATGTGACCTTGGCTGCAAATTGTACTCGCGGGAGAGGGTGCTGTCACTGAGCAGAGATGAAAGGCAGAGCTGGTGAGTTAGTAGGTTCAATTTTTTGACGGCAGTCTCGCAACAGAGTGACGCAGCTCCCTGACCAAGTCCCACATCACGCTCTCGCCGCTGTCTGGTCAAGAAGCAGCGTACGGCAGGAGGCAAGATGCAGCGCTTTGATTTCCTGTAGATCGGAACTGCAACAGATCATCACTGCTGCACCCTCCCGCCATCAACAGTTGGAGAAGGATGCACGATGCCTTTTACGGCTGCTCGCCGTGCTTGTGGAACGGATCCGTCCACTGTGGGAGGCCCTGCTGCTGCCTGGTTCGCGTCGCTGCAGAGACTGCATCTGAATCTACTTCACCCAGCTTTTTCTATCCTACCGATCGTTACTCAAACGATCGTTGAAGTGTTGACATCCTGCGTATCTGAATATTTAAAGTGTTCTACTGTTCTGATGATGGACAATACCTGAGGTTAAAGCTGCGCCCATGTTCCGCGAACTTGTGGACGTGGCTGCTTCAGCTGCCGTCGACGTGCTGGCCTGAGCAGCAAAGTCGCAAACACTCGCCCGGTGGTCCGTAGAAAGTCCATGAACGAGAAGAAAGGTAGTAACGCCGTTTGCAACAACAGAAACGAAGGCATTTCCATACTGTAGTCGTCGTCGTTGTTGTAGCAGAAGGAGCCGTACGTGATCGCTCGCGCCTCGTTGGCACAGCTGTTCGCGGATGTCTTTTTGCGAGCCCGCACCCAGCGCGACCCCAGGCGCACCATTGTCTCCATTGACACCTCGATCTTCTGCCTACGCCAGGCGATGCCCTCCGCGACGCCCCTGGCCTCTCTCCCATCCTGCATCCTCCCTTATGCGTGGATGTGGCATGCCCGACAGTCAGCTTACACGGCTCGCTGGCCCCGTATCCCCCAAGCTGATGTCGGGGAGCAGGCCGTTGTTTTAGGCAGGCTGACCGGCTAATGTTCTCTTCAGCCTTGACCCCTGCATTCCGCGACTGCAGGCCGACCTCAGGGACGGAGGACATGCCAATGCCTACCTATAGCGCTGGCAACGTCCGATAGAGCGATCACACTGTACACCTGCCTGGAGCGGTGTCTCGCGGAGCGCGCGCGTCATTGCAGCCTGGGGCTGGGAACGCCGCTCGTCGTGCGCCAGCCGCTTAGTGAGCATCATGGGCCGATGCTCTGAAAAGTCATTGGTCGCCGGGACCCGTCCTTTGCACAACTTGTTGACGCCAGTGCCCGCCTTCCATGCACTCTGCGCCGCCGCAGCTTCGCTCGCTGCGCTTGGCTTCGACCTCCACATTGGGGGACCTGCTGAGCTGTTGCACGTCCGCTCCGGATGAGCTCCTGCCGGACCGCGAAGGTGGCAACGCCCAGCCTTCGAAGCGATGTCTCGCCTTTCGCCGGGAGCTTGATGCATCTGGCAGGCGGGGCCTCATGGTGAAAAGGTCGCGCGAAGCAACAACCGCTGACAAGGAAAAAGGCATGCAGCGAAAATGTGAAACACACAAACTAACGAAGAGCTACCTGAGGGCGAAAGAGCTGCAGGACCAGGATTGGTACACTTCTCGATTTGGGCGTGGCATGCTTGCGCACGGGGGAAGTTAATCTTCTGTATCGTTCCAATTCTCTCGCCCGCCAAGCGATAAGCGATGCTACACCGATGGACCACCCTACTAGTAGCAGCGCTCGCGGCCCCCACACGTGCAGGCTGCTGGGGCTGGAGCTTCCAGTCGGTGAACCGGTTAACCTGCTCGACGGGCAGGAACTCGCTCTCGAGCTCCTGGCGGGTGGCCGGGCCACCCCCCGCCTCAGCCCAGGACAATGGACCACCACCGTCGATTCAGTGCTCGTCGTAGAAGTAGCCCACGAAGCACTCCCAGCAAGTAAAAAGGTGCGAAAAAATTGTCGGATTCATCGAGACGAAACAAGTTTAGCTGACCCCGAGCTACTGGACTTGGACGACACTTCAATTGCATGGGTGACGTGGCCATGTGCATTGGATGCATCGGTTTGTTTTTGCGTTGGTGAGCCTTTTGACAGCGTAAGCTGCCCGGTAGGCGCGTCCGGTCATGTCACGGTGCAAAGGTCGCGCGAAATGACAACCGCAGACAAGGAACAATGCATTGGGTGCTTCGGCTCCCTTTGAAAGTAGTGGGGAAATGGCCGTCTAGCAGATCGAGCGCATGCTGTGAAAAGTGCTGGTCGTTGCTTCTATTGAATCTATTGTATGTTAATGCCGTTTTTTGTTTTAAACGCAGTTTTTCCTACCAGCATCAAAAATCGCCAAGTTGAGATTGTACTAGCCCTTGTCAGTTGTGTGAGTTGTGTACCGTGCGCCTACCTCAATTTGTCATGATGCATGGTTTGCTTTCGGGACAGGCGAGGGGCCAGGATTGTGAAATTGACTGAAACACCTCCAGAATCCACGGCTTATGCGCGAGAGGAGTGGACATCCATCTGCTGAGAAGCTAGCAGTGCAACCTTCTCAAGGCACCACTGATACTGACGAGTCGGGCGATGTTTTGAGGGCTTCTGATCTTTCACACTTTCTGACTGGCACCCGACAGGAGGGAATATGATGGAGCTGCCGGAGTTTCGATCGGTTCGCGACCGCCTGCTTGACTTGTGCATTTGAGTGTGGCTGTCGATGTAAAAGCTCGGCTCATGGAAGCAGATTTCTTTGTGCAAGCAGGAAGGCTGTGCCGTACAACGTGTGCACTGGCATTCGGAGAGGACCGAGTCCTTTGAATTTTGACGTGACGGTGGCCACAAATTCGAAGTGCTACTGTTAGATCACGGGCCCAGGTGCTTGTAGATCAGGAGTGATCAGCCGCTGCGGAGAGAAAAAACTCTTTTGAGGGAAGCAAATCACTGTTGCGCTGGTTGCTCACGGTGTTCCGGCACCGTTGCGCAGTCTTCGGAGCATACTCGCGTGATTTGAAATTTGCGCCGTTGCGCCCAAACAGTGCTGCATGAACCATCCGCATGCATCCATATGTGTGCCCATGCATTCGTGTGCGCACATAGGCAGTTGCCTCGTGTGCCCAATAATATGAACCGTAAGGTTGTGCGCGACATTTGCTTTGTTTCAGGCTGGCGAGGCCAAATACCAAACACATTTTGTATCCAACCTTTTGGGAGCCCACAACGATGCCTGGAAAAGTTGCGCAGACCACCTTCTAGCCAGCCTGAGTCTGTCCCTGGCACGCTTGCCTCAGCTCACTCGATGGTTTTGCTCACACGCACACATGCATGATCCAGGCCTGATCCTTGGCGTGATCCCTGCGAAAGGCGACGAAGAGCTGCTGCCGAGAGATGACGACCGTATCGCAGTTGTATAAGCACATGGCTGTAACTCCTAAAAAACGTGCGCGATTCCAGGCGGTCACCTTGAGAATCTCCTAGACTGCGGAAATGACACCACAGAGTTCGGAGGAGTGAAGTTGACACTCTTAGATACTGAGATTTGTTGCCCTCTTTCTTCCTCAACAGCGGATACACCAGGGTTTCGCGTTGCCGCGTGCTCGCCTTTTGCCAGAGCTTGTTTGACATGCCTGCTGCCACACATAAGCCGTATCTGTACGTACTTGGGCGGGTGCTCCAGAATCGTAGAGGGCCAAGTGCAGGTGGTAGCACGTGACAGGCCCTCGTATCAGCATCTCAAGTTTTTTTTTGCCTGCCACCGCGAGCGTTGAAAGGGACACCCTCATCATGAGGCTCATAGACTCACAGAGTCATAGAAAGTAGTTTATGTCCGCTGTCCTTTGTGATTGAACCGAGTTCGGAGACGGCATAGGGGACTTCCACTGCATTGTAACATTGCAACTCCCTGATGCACTTAAGTTCCCAGCAACGCCTGCAATTGGAGGCACAAGCGCCCCAACTGCCCCAAAAGGGCGAGAGCTAGAGGAAGTCCTTGAGAACAAATCCAAGGAACCAGCACAAGACCTTCTTACGAGCTGTTCTGGAATGAGAAGGAGGTTCTTGTAAGGTATGTCCCCTATAACTATAATGAGGCTTGTATCGTGTTGATTAATTCGGCTCCCGAAACAACTGCGCCGATTCCAATTGTTTGCAAGCTGCCTCGCATGTCCGCATGGCATTCAAAAGAGCCCGAGTGGAGGATAGCTTGTTGTGGAAGGTGGGGGGCCCGGGTAGGTCTGAGGGGTTGACACGAGGTTTGTGAGGCTTTGACAACCTGCCAGTACACCCCCTGGAGCTACCCATACCCTAAACTTCCCTAGACCCTAAGCCACGCTTTCCTGGAGCTTCTGATGCTCGGGTACCAGACGGTGCCTGCATTTTTGGATCCTGAGAGAAGGCAGAGCCCAAAGGTCGTCTCTTCACGGCTTCAGGGTTGCGCGTAGATGATCTTCGGAAGTGCCCCTTTAGTTGATGCTTGTAGGGTGCTTTGTCATATCGAGTTTCCATGG